GTAAGAGAATAATTGCAACAGCAATTTCCCAGGATTACAGTGGCGCAGTGAATGGTGAGTCAACAGGGTATTTCAGACTCTGACTACCTCCTATCTCCTATGTTTTCATCCTTTAAGTAGCACAGAGACAGTTCTACTAGAAAAGTAGATAATAACTCAAAGTGGTTACCACACTGCCACTGACAACTTTAGCACAGCAAGTATCTTGGTGTATTAGTTTGGTACGAAACTAAAATAGAGAATAATTATGCCACTGATTTATCAGCAGAGTAGTAAGACACAGTGAGCAGAGATTAACTGCAGTTAAGATGGGTCTCAAACATTACTTGACAGTTAATTTTGGTAAGGAGTCCAGACTGTGAAAGTTTGTTCCCATATACATTTCTTCTAGAACCAGAGGAACCATAATTTCTCCCAGAAAGAGGCATTTTTGAGACAGACCATTCACTCCTACACATCAGCTGCAAGTATTTTCTTTTTTTTTTTTTTTTTAAGAACAACAAGAACTAAATAAAATCCCATTTATCAGTCAAAGATCTGTCTAGTTAGTTAGACAGTTTGTATTACTTGTAAAGCAAGTTGAGAGACTTGGGATTTGGATTTGCATTCATTCTTCCTGGGCTAGGTAAATACTTGCTGCTAATCCCCACGGGGTAAATAAAATTCAGTTCAAGCACCAAGTTTCCCTTAACCACAGAGGGTGAATTCATTAATTGCCTCCCAGGAATCTCAGATTCCACTAGAATCCATTGAGCCAAAACCCAACGATACATGTATGCCTGTGTGTATACAAATATGTATGCACATGTGAACATACAACACACACACATGGACATAGATACACACACTACAAAAAGCATTCAGAAAGAGTCTTTTCTTATATTCTACATCCTTCTGTGGAATAACCTCCAATCCTGGTCAGCTTCTTCAGACCAAGGTCTTCAGTGAGGAGAAATAAGGTCTCCCTCTCTTTAGTGCCACCATATTGGGGCATTCCAAAATTAGAGGAGTGAATCCATACCAACTTGGCTGATGGCATGTTTTGACACAGGTTCCCAGTAAAACAACTCTCCCTACCCTAAAATCACAGAACTGGAAAACAAACATCTGTGCAGGATATTCGTTCATGCTGTCTCAACATGAGCAAATTTTGGATTTGCCACAAAGTGGTGCACAGGCACATAATGTTCATCCTATCACTTCAGGCTCCTCATACATGGTCTTCTCCAGTCACAATAAGCAGAAGACAGCTGTCACGGTTTAAGCCCAGAGGGCAACTGAGCACCACAACAACATTCACTGATTCCTCCCCCTGCTGCTGGTGGGATGGGGAGGAGAAAACACAGGAAAAGACTCAATGATTGAGATAAGGACAGGGAGGGCTCACCCACCAATTCTGGTCACAGACATAAGACAGACTCAACTTGAAGAAAAACAAAACATGAATTTAAGTTGAATACAACCACCACCACTAATTTACCAATCAGAATAGGACAGTGAGAAATACAACCGTATCTTAAAACCACCTTCCCCCTACCCCTCCCTTCTTCCCCAGTTCAGCTTTGCTCCCTATTTCCCTACCTCCTGCCCTGCAGAGGTGCAAGGGGGCAGGGGATGAGGGTTGCAGTCAGTCCCTCTCACATTGTCTCTGCTGCTCCTTCCTCCTCAGAGGGAGCACTCCTCACTCCTTCCCTGCTCCAGTGTCAGTACCTCTCACAGGACATGGTCCTCCATAAAGTTTTCCAATTTGAGACTTTTCCACAGGCTGTAGCTCTTCCCAAATGGCTCCAGCGTGGGTCCCTGCCACAGGCTGCAATCCACCCAGCAACAGACTGCTCCAGCACAGGCTTCCCACAGAGTCATGGCCTTCTACAGACGCAGCCACCTGCTCTGGCACAGGGTCCTTCACAGGCTGCAGGTGGGAATCTGCTCCACCGGTGGGCATCTGCTCCACTGGTGACCTCCATGGATGGCAGGAATACAGCCTGCCCTCTCACCACAAGCTGCAGAGGGGTCTCCTCCTCCTTCCTCTCTTCCCCCCATCCTCCTCCTTTCTTCCTTCCACTGACCTCGGTGTTTGCAGACGTGTCGCACTCACTCCTCTTCCTCCCAGGTTCCCCTTCTTAAATACATTATTACAGAGGTGCAGCCACCATCACCAGTTGGCCCAGCCTTGGTTCAAAGGTGGGTCCAACTTGGACCACTGTATCACTTTTATATAACGCTTCCTACACCATCAGCTCCTGGGGTTTCAACAGCAAGATTCATACACTATTCCATTACTGAACAACTGTGTTTTAGGGCAATGGAGGGAAAATCACTTAAAAGGAAGGCACAGCTATACTGGACAGGCCCCAAAATTCACCTTGCTCAGCATCCTGTCTCCTACACAGGATGCCATATGAATACCAAGGAAGTCATAAAGTATTTTCCAAGCAGCAGCTACTTCTGGATGAGGAACACTTGGAACCAGAAAAACACCTCTGTTTTGGGTGGTGGGGCAGGTGTTTGTTCAAGGTAATCCTGTTGCTTTTTAACCCACACAGACCCACAGGAACTGCACATCATGGATGTTATACACTTGCAGCTTCACCATCTATTGAGTCAAGAGCACTTCTGCCCAGTCCAAACTACAACTTGCTGAGTGCATCTGAAGCTCCTCAGTGGATGGAGAACCATGCCTTGTCTCTCCCAGTCATGAGCACTTCCTGCACTATTTGGCATCCTGGAGATGCCCATGATGGCTCTCCTCAGCTGACTCTTGTCCAGCATGTAACCTACACTGTGGATTCCTATAGAGAAACTATTGCACAGCTTTGGTTATCCTCCTTGTTCTCCTCTGTGTGCCTTTCCCACCACTCCACCAGTGACCTCCCCACAGTATCACAACTAACCCAGTTTATTTCTGAGCTGCTTTGTAACTTTTACCTTATCATTCACCCCTGTGATAACACCATCCTACCACGTGGCTGCACAATTTCTCTACAAGCCATACATATGTAGCCTTTTGCAATTCCAGGTGTGAAGGCACTGATTAGTGTCCTTCATCCTTGTCACTGACTCTTTCAGAAGGAAACTCCAAGAGACTTCAGAAGTAAGATTTCATTTTCCAGAAGGCGCCTTAGCTCTTCCCCAGACTACCACATGCACCACCAAGTCCAAGAGCAGTTCTGGTTTTGAAAAACACTTCCCAACACTTTTCCTGGCACAGATGACAGATTTAATGGACTACAGCTCTTATATGTCCTCTAGACTTAAAACTATCACCACAACAAGAAAGGTGGATTGTGTGGTGTCAGCTACATTTGTCTGGTACCACCATAATTTAAAGCGGAAAGGTTGCACATCATTTGTGGCAGAAGCAACATTTCATTCACTGATCTTTCTTAAAACTCCTGTTATCATCTCTCGACATCCACCCATTTGGTCAGCCTGTGCTGTAAACTCTGCAGCCAGAACTTCCAGTTCCACAGACTTTTAATAATTCTGGCTACAGGAAAATCTGCTTATGAAAAGGAAGCATAAAATATATTTCCCATGTAAAGAAGACTGTAGATTAAGCAAATACTCAGTTATGTTGGCCCTTTCCTCTTTTCTTTTTTTGTTTTGTTTTGTTTGCTTCTTACTCATGCATGTGCTTTCACTCCTTGCAGGACAGAACTGGAATGCAAAAAGACACCAAAACAGAATGGTGAGTTTCACCAACATGTAAACTGGGGTACCCTCCCAGAGGATAGTAAATTTAAACAGTTCCTGCAGCACTCAGTAGCAGCACCTACTATTAGGAGGCAGAAGGGACAAGAAGACTGATTACTCACTTGAATGCTGACTATCCTGGGTTATATTGTTAATAAATGCATACATTTAAAAAAAAATAGACAAACTATACTTTGCCTTTTTTAAAGTATATACAAGGACTGAACTCAGAAGAGAGAAATTATCAAAGAAAGAACGATGTTTGTCTCAAAAGAGGTAAAAAGAATTGGTTTATTTCTTTGAAGACCCTGGATAAAAATAATTTCAAAATAAATTAAAAATATATGCCATTGGTATGCATATTAATGAAACAATTCCACCTTCCATTTTTATTCAATTTTTCTTCCTCTAAGTCCTTCAGAGATATTCTGGTTATACTCTCTTCATGCACAGCAAACTGTCACCTAATGGTGAACCCTTTACCTGAAGTGCACCTATTACCATCTCAGTCTGTTTAAAATAATAGTCCTGGAACACTGATCTATAAGATTATGTCAAGAGAATCTACATTAGAACCAATAAATCCAGAATTAATACCCTCAGCTAAATACTTCTGGAAACAGTGAGGAAAATGGTAATAATGACTAATGGAAATATCTGAGACTGAATCAGCAACATGAGGAAAACAACAACACAGTATGCAGGATACTACACAGCAGTAACTGTACACACTGTTATTTGTTGGTGTGTTCAAGTTCTTCAGAAAGGACTTCCATCCCTTTGGCAATGCTCTACTGTGAGAGGCACTGCCATAAAACGCCAGTCTAACCTGATGTCTCCCAGTGCTTTTGGGTTCTGGAGGTAGAAGGCCAAGGTGCCACAAAATCTGTAATGCTTTTAGAAATAAATGTCAAGCACTTAGGCCTATAAATACATACAAATATATGTGGGAATACAAATATATCTGTTGGTGCAGTTTCTTCTCCCTACATTTTAAAAGATTAGTATACAAGAAATAAAGCAAGAGGCCAAACCTAGATTGGCAACAATGATTTATAAAGGGGGTAGAGGTTTTCTTCAGAAGTGCTGTTACTTGCAGCTTCTAATATTTCACATGTTATACTTATATGTGCATTCAATGTCCGTTTTCTAAATATTATACAATAATACATAAATTAAATGTTTTTCACACCAACACTGACTGTGTGGCCATTAGCTGGAACATTGGAGCAACCTCATTCTGTTGTGGAGAGCGTCTTGGTAAACCACAATCTCACAGAAAGCTTGGCTAGAAAAGACACTACCTTCTCTTCCTGATGTATTCTGTTGGCATTTTCCATTTGAAAGCTGTGCAAGGACTGGATTTTGTCGATCTGCTGTCGCTGCTTCTCTAGCTCCCCTTGGAATTCATTCTTTTTGAGCTCCACAGCACCCCTCTCCACTGCCGCCCTGCGGACTTTGCCTTCCAGATCCATGATCCGACCCTGAGAAAGAGCAAATTAGCCAAAGCAAATACAAATGCTTCCCGCTCAACAGACTCTTCTCCAGTACATTCAAGGAATACCAAATTTCACAGAACTAACAATGCTAATGTCATCAAGGTATTGTGTCAGCCAGGCATACCTGCCACATGCCCCAGACACACATGCCCTCAGTTTTACATAAATTAAACAGTACGACATTCTGTAGAGACTATCAAAATTTCAGTTAAAGAGAAATGCAAGACTGCGTCAGTACTTGAGCTTAAAATAAAACAAAACATCCTCACAAAAATAACATTAAAAAGATTGCTGTCTACATGAAGTACAAATTCAAATATTTTTTTTTAATTTCATCCGGACAATTCTGACATCACTACACTTCCCACAGGTGATCCTAAACTAACTCAGAGAAAATTGGTCTCTCAAATCAGTATGTTTTCCTGGAAGACCTGGAAAAGGGTAGAGGAGGACAACACTGCCCAACTTTTACATAAACTACTGGTATGTGGCTGTTACACAAAGACTCATAAGAGAAAAATTCTTTTATATGCAGAAAATCTTGATTGCTCAAAGACCAATCCGAGGAAGATTCAACACCATTCCATACTGCACATACAAACACAGAGATATAAAGCAAGGAATCAAGCCTGATGCTATCACAGCTTTTTAATTGTGTTCTGTTGGGTTTTTTTTAATATACTAATTTAGTTACTGGCAGCAAGGAGGAATACAAGGGCACACAGGGATGGGGAATATCAACAGAATTTACCCAAGTAGAAAGACCAAGGGATCCCAGATAGATTAAAAAATAGATATAATAAAAAATATGCATCTTCCAAGACTCCAAGAAAACGGACCAAATCCTCTTACACCACAGTATGCTGCATACTTCTGTCCGCCTACTCTGCTTCTCTGCCACAAAGAGTGAGAGAATAGAGAGAGGTGGGGAGACTTGCAGTTTAACTGGAAGAGCAAAGAAAAGCACTTATTCCATTTCAGTCATAATAGCTGCAAAGTCTTGCCAACAGACAAATGGGCTGATAGCACTTTAGAAGCTCCAACCATGCCTTCAGCTATGTTTTTATTTCATTCAGAGTGCATAAAACGATTTTCAAGCTAACTTTGGGAGAAGTACAAGATGATACAGGAAATCAATAACAGTAAAGAGGACATTATGTCTCTAGGTTACTGAGGTCAAGAATAAGCTAGTATGGTAGCTTATTTTCCTCATTATCAGTTGCCTCGTGGCCATGCAACAAAACTTCACAGAATCATCTAGGTTGGAAAAGACCTTGAAGATCACCTAGTCCAACCATCAACCTCACACTGACTATTCTCGACTACAACATATTGCTCAGCGCTATGTCAACCCTACTCTTAAATACCTCCAGGGATGGGGACTGCACCACCTCCCTGGGCAGCCCATTCCAACACCTAACAACCCCTTCTGGAAAGAAATGCTTCCTAATATCCAGTCTAAAATTTCCCTGGTGCAACTTGAGGCCATTCCCTCTTGTACTCTTCCTTATTACTTCCTTAAAGAGACTCATCCCCAGCTCTCTGCAACCTCCTTTCAGGTAGCTGTAGAGGGCGATGAGGTCTCCCCTCAGCCTCCTCTTCTCCAGACTAAACACCCCCAGTTCCTTCAGCCGCTCTTCGTATGACCTGTGCTCCACACCCTGCACCAGCTTTGTTGCCCTTCTCTGGACACGCTCGAGTCATTCAATGTCCTTTTTGTAGTGAAGGGCCCAAAACTGAACACAGGAATCGAGGGGCGGCCTCCCCAGTGCCAAGTACAGGGGTCAGATCCCTTCCCTGTCCCTGCTGGCCACGCTATTGCTGACACAAGCCAGGATGCCATTGGCCTTCTTGGCCACCTGGGCACACTGCTGGCTCCTGCTCCTGTTCAGCCGGCTGTCAATCAACACCCCCAGGTCCCTCTCTGACTGGCAGCTCTCCAGCCACTCCTCCCCAAGCCTGTAGCGCTGCTGGGGGTTGTTATGGCCCAAGAGCAGCCCCCAGCATTTGCCCTTATGGAAACTCCTCCAGTTGGCCTCAGCCCATGGCTCCAGCCTGTCCAGGTCTCTCTGCAGAGCCTCCCTACCCTCGAGCAGATCATCACTCCCACCCAACTTGGGGTCATGTGCAGACTCACTGAGGGTGCACTCGATCCCCTCGTCTTGATCATCAATAAATATGTTAAATAGGAGTGGCCCCAAACCGAGCCCTGGGGGACACCACTTGTGACCAACCACCAACCAAATTTAACTCCATTAACCACACCTTTTTGGACCCAACTATCTAGCCATTTTTTTACTGCTTCAGCAGTACAGACACAGTTACTACCTGCTCATAGCTACCGTCCTGAGGCCACTGACTAAAGTGAAAACAAGGGATGAGCAGAGTCCAAGAAGACATGGCATCATATCCTCCACCAAGAGAAAGCTAAGACATACCATGAACTGCAAGGGCAGAAATGTGTCCTGTTTGAATAGTGCCCACTCTGAGGTGAAACAGGAGTTCAATTCCTACAGCTGTCAACTCAGTGCTAAAATTCAGCTCAAATATAAAGAGGATACAAATTCATTAGGAAAACTTGGGAGGAGCTCTCATGGGCCATGTTTAATCACCAGGGTTTTAGTTTAGGTTTGCTTGTTTAAAAAAAAGAACAAAAGAACCATCCTACACACATTGTCACAGACCAGTAATTTTATTCATGTTCTCCTCAACTTCAGAACATGTTCTCCAGGAAGGATTAAAACCCAAGTTATAATCAACAGTCAGAGAAAATACTGTTACCATTAGAAAAATAGCATACAAGATAATTATTCCATGTGAGTGCCCTCTTTAGGAAAGGTTTATGAGAAATGCAAATTCAGATTTTTAGCCACTGTTTCTGAACAAGCTAGATTTCCTTGTGCTTGGTGGGAAAGTATGCATACATTCTTATGGGTCATGTAAGAAAAAAAATCACATAAATGAGCAAATTGAAGATGGCCATTCATATTAAAAATGGAGTACCAGTCTCAATGTACAGTTTGGACGAAAAACAGAAGATGGCATTTCCCACATCTGTAAACTAAAACAGTATGGGACAGCCAAACATTTTGTGTGAGCAGAATTAACAAGTACCACACACATAGGTCTTAAAGTTTTGGCTCCCTCTCACCTACAAACAGGCATTCCTCCCATTCCCCCCATTTTCAATACTTGTGAAAAGTCCTACAACAAGCTGAAGTTCCCAGCTCACCACATGCAGGGCAAGCATCCTTCTTGTGGACTATGTTTATTAACCACACAAGTACAAGACGACATGCAGAGCAATAGAAGTTACCTGCAGATCCACGCTGCGAGAACTTGCAATCCAGTAATTGAAGCCCAAAACAATGATGCATGCCACAAGTGCAGCCACAAGGAGTGGTGAATACTTCATCACTCGGCAGCTGTTTCCTAGCCCTACCATTTCAAGAAAAAAAAAAACAAATCCAAAGAACCACAACAGTGTGGAAACCTGTAAATTAAAACAGACACATTATATTGCATCCACTGCTACAGCTATTTTATACACACAGTGAAACTTTTACTACAATAATGCAACAGATCTCAGCTGAAGGGACTATAGCCAGCAAGAAAGGTGCTCTCTCTAGGTATCTCCATCTGAAGGACAAAGAAAGGCCATTTCATACTATTAGTTTGCACATAAAGCTTTCCACGGACTTGAGGGGGGACAGCTTGAACATTCCTACAATATAATGATAATCTGGAATAAACAGGACAAACCAGCCATCCTTTCATCATATATTGCACCCAAAAAGCTAATTAGACAATATTGGTCTACAGATAGAAGACTGACTCCTTGTTATCTCTTTTAGTCAGAAAATACACTTTAGACTCACTCTTTCAGGAGTAATTTGCAGTATGCTTTCCAAACTCGGACAGTTTCAACTTATTCCCTCTGCTAATACTATTTTAGCTTTCTGGTTCCAAGCTTGTAAATAAATAAATAATTAATCAGATTGAATCAAATTACTTCAAGGATAATCTAAGAAATAAAAAAATAATTAGCAGACACTCCATTGATTTCAATGGTAAATTGTAAAGTGATGGTTGTTTTGATCCTCAGCTGCTTTCTCTGCTCCTAACAGAATATAAATAGTTTTGCTTTAATGAATAAGCAGTACCAAGGGTACTACTATTGGTTACTAGAGAGACTTGGGTTGTTTCTGTGGAACAGCCCATTTTAACAGAAAAGCAGGGGCAAAGGGCAGTTGCAATTTGGTTTGAAATAGGCCATATTCATCCTGTGACGTTAACATTTGGTCTTAATGACTGTAATAGCACTTAGCTCAATGAATCCTCAAACTCCACTGGCACAGCTCTGTAATAGATTGCTCTCTTGTAATCTGAAATCGTCCCTTTTAATTTTTTTCACTCCTGCAGACAAAAGCCAGCAAAAATAAGCATGGAAGATCAGATAACAAACACGGATACATTGCGAGACACTAACTAAATCTAAAATGGGTACATTTACTATTAATATATTGTACAGTCTCTCAAGGTGCAAGCTTTTTAAAAAAACTCCTTCCCTACAGATGCAATTCAGAAGTTGTGATGTATTTAAAAATTAATAAATGGTAGCAACTCTTAGATGGTTTACACATAGACATAAACTGTAATCACAGGGGAAGAAGGTGCCAGCAGTTACCAGGTACCAGAAATGCTGATTCTATTGTATGTCCTGCACTTCAGTCCTTCAACAGCTCACCTATACCTAGGTGTGTATACCCTCTGCAAAATCCTCTCTCTGCATTCAATTTAAGATATAACCATCTTCCTCTTTTCTCAGCAGGGAGTGCACCAGACTGGTGAAGATTTCAAATATATTTGTTCATTTGAAAAGTCTGTGTATTTGTTTGTATTTGGGGATGGTGTACAGATGGAGCCTTCATGTGGCTTCCTAAAAATGCTGCTTCTTCATGTACGTACACACAAAAGAACCCAAAACAAACAAAAAAACCTGTGCATAGCTGCACAGGTCCAACACCTGAGGCTTGAGTTTCTTCCCTAAAAAAAACTCAGTTACGGAGCAAACCAACACAAGCAGCACAGCTCCAGTGGACACCCACAGGGCCATGCACAGCTGAGGTAAAGTCAACAGAAAAAGCAAAAGCATGGGTAGGAACCATGCATTTTTGTTGTAAAGCAAAAAAATCAAGATGCAGTGAACTAAGCCACATACACAGTTTTGTATTGGAAATTCGCATATCTGTAAGAATTGCAGAAATCCGTACATCTTGCACACAATGTTCTCCTACTGTGTCATCCTAAGAGAAGCACCTGAGAAGTACAGAGCCACCTTGTCTTACACAGATTCCCTGCAAACCAAAAAATCCAGATCTCCAGAGTGGCAAAAATGAGAGGTGGAAAACAGCGATGATCAGCACTGCCACATCAGCTAAGACCGAGATAATTAATTTACTTTTGCTTACTGGAATAAAATACTACATTTGAAAAAACGTTTATCGGAATCTGTCATGAAGTCACTCATATCCCGTTCTTCACTGTAAGATTTTTAGTTGGTACACTCGAAAACTACGATAAATTATTAAATACAGGACTGCAAGACACAGTACATCATTCCAAGTGTTACCTGAATAAAGTAATTGCTATTTTCCTCCTAGCAGTCAAAAATAAATAAAGCAGTCCATGTTTTCTGCAGTAACAACTTGTACAGCATTTTAAGTACTTGATAAATATATGGGGCTAGATGTTCAGCTCAAAATTTTCCAGAAGTAAAGCAACTATAATGTTCAAAGAAAGAATGATCAGCTCAACATGCAGCTTAAAGCATAGGTGCAAAACTATGTTAAGGAATGCCAATACACCTACCTAGTATGCAATTCCAGCAACTCTTCAGCTCTTTTCAGCTATTAAAAACCAAACAGGCAAGAAAACATGGATTTCACTAAAGCATGTTTCAGCTCAAAACATTGTTCTCTCGAAAATCCAGTGTTTTTTTCTTTAAATAATTTGTTAATTGGGAATGTATTTTTATACTCAATAGAAGGCAAAGCAAAAGGAAGAGGAAAGATATGAAACACACAGAAGGCTCCTCCATCTGAACAGAGCAGACCCAAAACATTACCTCAGTTGCAATATTGATATTCCCTCTCTCATCAGTTTAAAAATAAAAATTGTTTAACTTTCTATCATGGATACACACACACGCATTCTGGAGGACAGATAAGCAAATTAGCTAAGCAAGTACATTTTCATGGAAATGTATTTGTACATGCTATTTTCCAGGAAACATCTGGTTTGGTGCAGTTGAGCTGAAAAATAAAATATGTTTCTGATTTTATGGCCAAGAAAATGATTTTACTGAACATGAAGGAATCCATCTTTCGTTAAAGTTTACTACAGATGTGAAAATGAAATGCTGTATCACATGTATAGTGCTCTGCATTTGGTAGAGCCAAAAGTTCCTGACTTCTGAACATCAGATTTAATCTTTCTGCTTTGCAAACCCAACAGTGCCTCACTGAGAGGGAGACTCTGAGGTATTCGAGCAAATTAACATATAGCATACTTTTATTTCCCATATTAATATACTACCAGTCAAAACAACTCCTTCTTTTACTGTACTCAGCCGAACCAGGATAGCTGGTATCCAGCAGCCTTCCACTAAGGATAATAAACAATTACGCTAAGTCTTAAGACTGAGATATTAACAGGACAGACAAAGCAAAACAATCTGTGCATTTCAGACTCCCAGAAGGAAAGCCAAGTCTCTCTGCTCACAAGGTCCAGCTCTGTGTATATGCATGAGACCTGCTGAGCAGGAACAAGCAGAATAGATGAAGAATTCAATAAAAGCAGCACACAGCCTGGGGGGAAGCAAAAGGAGTCCTTTATCCACTACTTGCTTACCTGCCTACTGACTGCTGCCTCCACCACCCAGCCACAGGATAGTACAAACCAGTGTAAGCCAGAGCAGCACGTGAAGACCACATGCAGCCGGAGCAACCACAAAAAGCAACGGAGGTCTGCACTTCAAGGGAGGACGGAGCCTTAGGAAAATCCCTTTGGAAATGCAGGCCCATAACTAGAGACAAAAAGGAGATAAAAAGCAGCAAGGACCCAGGGGCTACCGGACAGCCCTAAGAGGACACACAACCCTATCCTGACCAGGGCTACTGACAGGCAACTGCTCTGCCCATCGAGGGACCCCCACAGATAGACAGTGGTGCTATCCCCACTTTTTGCAGATTCCTCAATTTCTCACTGATATTCTGGAAGAAATTACCTGGGGTTTTTTTTAGATATTGCCATGAAATTCCTGTCTGACTGCTTGAATAAAAACACATCAGCTTAACCAAGCAAGACAATCAAAACATCTTCCACTGACAACAGCTAGTTAGTTATACCCAGACATGACTAATCAGACTAAAAGGTACTAGAAGCGGGATTTTATTAAGAAAAATAAATAAAACTTAAAAAAAAAATCTTAAAAGAAGTGAACCAGAAATCAAGTATTTGTGCACTCTAGTCTTCCCAAAAAAGGTGATGGAGAACCAAGAGGTGACAGAGTGAAAACCTTTCATTTTTAGTTTTATATATGGTTAACATACAGTAGTGAGCATCCTTGAAAGAGAAATCAAATTGCTGGTTCTCAATCATGGCTGGATGTTACCCACAAGTACCACCATTCGCAGTAGCATGGCAAGAACCCGTTACAGCCAGCAGCAACCTTTATGCTTTCACAGTTGCACTGACTGACTACAAGTGGTCAGAAACTGGGTCTAATACACTGTTACAAAATATGGCACCCATATTTTTTTTTCATCCTCTGCAGCAGGATGGGTTTGGAGATGGGTTTTTTTCGAGTCTGCAAATCAAAAGAGGTCAAACAAACATTTTTCCAATGGAGATTTAAAGTCTGTACAATGAACTCAAGCCTGATGACCACAAATTTTCTAATTACCCTTTCACAGGAATCCACAAATTGCAGGCTGAAAGAAAAATAAAACAAACTCCTGAAACATTCAGCAACAGTCACTTTTCAAACTTCTGTTGGCTCACTTCAAAGTGGCAATCACCCCCCAAAAAATAATTCAAACACAGATGCCACAGGATGCCACTGAGTCACTGCCCACATTATCGAGTTTCACTTTTTACAGAAACGGGTGATGCATTTACGGCCACAACACATTCAGCAAATGCACTCTCATCTTTCTCAAAAGTAACCATCATTTGATACTCAATTCAGATCTTAGGTCTTCCTTTTCTAATGCATTTTAAACTAAAAGAAACAGACCAGAAGAGTCTGAAAAGGTGTTTGTCACCTGTTCAGGGGGAGAGTGACTGTTACCACTCATTCACTACATATTTTTCAACTGGGGAAGTGTCTCTGCTTTCAAATGACTACAATAAGTTTAAAACTAATCACCCACAATGTCCTACCTTATCTTATTAAAGAGAAACCCCAAGCAGATGCATAGCTAAATAGATGCTAGGTTCTGTTCTGATGTTAGGTAACCAAACATAACTTGACAGAAATCTAAAATATCCACACAAAGTTTCCAGACATGCTATCTAGGTGTACTGGTAGACAATACTACTACCACCTGAAAATACTGTGCATGAAAACAAAATTAAACAAGCAAACTTAAATGCCTGAATGATCTCAACAGTTAATCAGACTTGTTAATTTCTTTTTAGGAAAATATTTTGTTGTCGTATTTTTTCCCCTACAACATGAACTATCTTGTTAGAATAACAATTAACAGAACACCCCCACTTGATCTTAAAAAAAAATAATAATTAGGAAATGGAGTATGATAAGTTTAGAGATGTGGTGAGGAAAACCATAAAATCGCTACCATTCCCCATCCCCCCACCCC